CAGATACAGTAGTTAAGTTGGGTTTAAATGGCAGATTAGACCTCAAAAACTGACCTATTGTGTTATACTGGACAGAACTTACTCGTACACCAGATCTAAAGAAACACTACCAAAAGTAGAAAACGAACGCAGTCAGCCCTCAAACGATATCAATTTGAAATGAATCAACCATTAAATTGATAAGTCTATAAACTATAAACGTCCCTCGCTGAAAAAACGGTTTTCGGAGATTTTTAATCTTCAATCTTCAAAAGGTGGGTACTGAAACAAGGTAAAATGCAGTTTCCTCGTATCAAACCTAATATATCATTAAAATTGCATTTAATGGACTATAAATTCATATTAAAATCAGAAGCTATTTTTTGCTATTAAAGCTGATATGACAAAAGATTCCATCGAATTTTCGTTATCATATATCTCAGTTAACACGGAAAATGTACACGTAATATTATTTTTTTTAATTTTTCAAAGGAAGTAGTCACTGTATAAAGTTACTTAATGTTCTTTAAGAAAAAAAACACCCAATATACTTCAAAGTAATTTGCTAAGAGTATTTCTAAGCAGAATTCATTTTGTTAATAGCGAGTAAACAATTTAAAATTCTTAATTATAAATAATATACTCTTATTTACAAATTAATTTGTGTATATTTTAGCGATGCTCTATTAGGCCAAAGTCCAAAGAAATACTCATTTCAATAACTGTTGATACTTTTTAATATGTGATTAAATATACAGTATATATTCTCGAAATACAATATATTTTTTGAAACCAGCCTTGAACATTTGATCTACCTATGTACAATAATTATTTATAGAAGATAGATTTATACTAATCTGGCTAACAAAATAAAAACCAGATAACGTAAGACTTCGAAATTTTGGTGGGATTGCAAGGATTATAAGTTCAATAAGTACAAATTTAAAGTGATTGAAACCCATAGTAATGGCATTAAAATAGAATGAAAAATAATTAAACCTTTCTTCCCCATTAAGATAATATAATGAAGATTATCAATTATACTCTATGGCACACTGTACTATACTCTATTCTAAAGTATACTATACTCTCTACTATACTATACTCTATACTATACTGTACTCTATACCATGCTATACTCTATACTGTGCTATATTCTATACTTTGCTCTTTACTATACTGTACTCTATACTACACCATGCGCTCATTTGAACATTAAAGAATGTGTGACAAGAAAATATAAAAACATAGTCTAATGGACTTCTATTCGACCCTAATATTGGCCGGCCATGGATCGTCATCGATTTCAACTGGCAGATGGTCCCTACTGCCCAAAGTGTCATAACGTTGTTGAAAGCGCAAAACATATAGTATTTCGTCGTAATTGCTTTCAAGACGAACGGAACCTACTTGTGGATTTCTGGGACACCTACCATCTCCAAGCAGTATTATACATTAAATGTCTTCAAGCAGTGTTAAATAGAATTCAGTAAAAACTCAAGCAATGCGACACCTTAGACATTTCGAAAAGTAATGCCAAGCGCTATCATAGATCGCATAACCAGCGAGGTTGTGGTAACTGCAACGACGATATATGAAAACACAGAAGTTGAAATATTTAATTCAATGGACTATATGACGACCAAAAACAAACGTTTGAACTTCTGGACGGTCTATTGACGGAATACCAAATCGGTGTTTCCAAAAGGGTTAACCGTCGAACTTCGGGACTATTTTAGTCGGTTAAAGAAAACACTAATTTGGGCTTTCTGTTGCTCTACACCTCGTTAAAAAAATACAACACTCTATACCAGGGCTCTATACCAGCAACTATAAACTATGAACGTATGTATTTGTTTCTGCGGCCCTCCAATCTGTACAACGATTTGTATTGGATCGCGATCTGGTCTGAACAACCCTGCTCTGTACTATTCTATACTATATACTGTATACTTATAGCTTGATGAATATCTGATTTATAAAAACTAAAGTTTCAGTTATTGATTTGCCATTACAATTAGTATTCTTAAGCCCTATTCAAAATTTCTTGGTTAATCGTAGTTGAAAATAAATTATGATTGATTTATTATATTCTAAATTCTAAATAATCAAAGAATTCTTTAAACTATTTTATTTAAAGACTTCTTGTTGTGAAAATTATTTAAAGAAAATTGAAAATCAATGATAACCTTTGGTCATAAATTTTATCAAATATTTTTATTTTTTATATACATTCATATATAATATAATATATTTTTTTAATTCTTCTAATCGTTATCGGCTTTGAATTTATAGCTAACATATGGTTTGAATACATTATTTATATTATTTCATACGTGCGCTCGTATTATATATCGCATGTGTAAGTTCTTCCTTTCAATAAATAAGCAAAAGAAAAAAATATGTGCACATCAGCGAAATGTTTTTGCAGTGGAAAATGCAGATAAAAAAATGTATTTTACTCCATTAATAATTTGGAACTAATAAATTTTAACAGAGGTGGCAAAAAATAAAGCAACAACAATTCCAGATGCCTGCAAACACAATAGGCATGGCAATCGCGCAGAACGTATGTTCTTCAACACCCACGAGCATTAGCCGGCAGCCGTTGAATTGAGCGCCACTCTCACGCCTCCAACAAAACAAATTCTGACAAAATACACAAAATAACAATTACAACAAATCAACAAAAATAACAACAACAATAGCAATAATAACAGCAATTTGAACTTTATTATCAAATATTGTGCGCAACGCAAAGGGAGAGAATAAATAATTTCAATACAAAAATTGACGCAATACAAAAAAGTAATTCCTTCCAGTTGTTGTTGTTTTTTGTTTGTGTGTTTAGTGTTGCTGTTTCTTGATTATTTGTTGTTGCTTTAATTTATGAACTATTAATGTTTTTTTTTGTTGCTTTTGTTGCAAGCTTCAGCAGTAACTTCAATGCATACATATAAAACTTTATGCAAAGATATTTTCAATAATTACTAGCAGAATTTTACATTCTCTATTATTATCAAAACTTTACCTAAATTATATTAATTTTTAATTTTAATCTAAATAAAAATATAATTAATTTTTTTGTATACAAAAAACTATGTGGCAACAAAATTATACAAGCCTAACTTACTTTATCACTATTGCATTACGTCCTGAATGTTGAGTGCGTGCTTCCAATTTAAAAACAACACAAAAATATATATTCTTATTCTTAATTTATTTATTGATTGCCTTTTTAATAAACAAATTACTTTCGCATAAAGTTTATTTATTTTGTATTCAAATCAAGAAACAAATTTTGCAAAAAATTCCACTTCCGTTGCTTTTTGATTTTTATGTTTTTTGTATTTTTTTATACATGATTTTAAGCATTTTATTAATCATATATGAATTAATACGAACAATAATGGGAATAATTATAAATCATTGTAAAAATACGCAGCTTCATATTTGTTTAAATTTTTTTATTAATAATAGCGTAAACAAATTATTAATTATTTACTTCTTAAAAACAACAAACTGCGCTTCTCACACAAATAAAACAATTCACACCCAATAAACACAACATTTGAGATAGAACTGAAAACGTATAACGAAGTAAAGAGAGCAGCAAACAAGCATTTGACAACTTAAAATGTTTTAAAATGAAATGCAATGTTGCCGTACCACACAATCATATAAGGTAGCCACTTTATCCATATTTTGTAATACTTAAATGATATTCACAATAGTTGTGGCCATTTAATTATACGTGCTTTTGATGGCTCCCATGTGGGAAGAAACAACAAGTTGCTTCCCATAAAGTTAAAAAGTTAAAATTTAAAGTTAAAATTTCGAAAATGAATAATAATTCTTTGCATTTATTGGTAAGAATATATTTCTTTTTAAATGATTGTAAATAAAATATAATTTGTTATGCCTTTTAACACTAAAATAATAAATAGAAAAAATTACGTATTTGTTACGAATAATGACGATACGAAATACGAACAATTATATATATAACAGTATAATATATAACAGTATTATACTGTAAACAGTATTAACAGTATATAGCAGTATATAGTATAAACCTTTTAGCAACTAATAAGTTAAAAATTTTGAATCACTTGATTCATAAAATCTTCTTTGATTCATACCTTCACTTGTTTTCTATTTTGGCTTTGACATATTTGTTATCTAAATACTAAAGATGTATACTTTCGACATGAATGCTCCAATAGAACACATATCGCTTAAAAATTAACATGCAAAACAAAAACCATATTAGTAAAAATAAGTCCACTTTCCTGAAGCTTAATGAATAAGCTACTAGCATAATAAAAGTGCCAAATCTTAAAACTGATCTATTGTGAATGATTTTAGAAAGAAAATGGAAAACTCCAGTCAGATGAGAGAGATGTTTAAGTAAATTAAGTATATTTAAATATTTTAAAAACGTATTTTTTTTAATAAAATTTGGAAGTTGACTGATAGGTTAGGCATTGTGAAGAACTCATTCGTTACCTCTTTGAAAGTATGTTAAAAAATTTGACTTACTTTTAGAATTACCAAAACTGATTCACTGACAACAATAACATACTAGTTGTTTTTTTGCAAGAGACTTAAATAATGGTGAAGTTCTCATTCTCTCCTAAAGTTGCGAATATTTGGAATATCATTCTATTGAATTATATGTAAAAGTAAAAACCAATAGTCCATATGTATCAATACATTTAATGGAACTCAATATATTTAAATACCACATATAGTACATATAAAATATGTTGGTTGTGTGTGACAGCACGTCTACACAATATGTGTGCACATATCCATATAGAAATGTATTGTGTGAGTGCTGATATGCAACAAACGATATGGCAGCATAAACATTTAAGTTCAAATTTTATGCTTCTCAAAATCTCATATGCCAAAAAAAAATTTAGTTAAAATGGAAAGTGCCGTGAAGAAGAGGTTTATAACAAGGAAAAGAAAATCAACTGCTGGCGAAAGAAAAATCTCACATCCGTGGAATGATAAGGAAATCCAGCGTTTGATTAATGCTGTTAAAAAACGCGCGCTCTTATGGAATGCAGGCCTGTCGGATAACAAAATGTCTCGGCTAGATGCTTGGCGAGAAGTAGTTGCAGAGCTCAATATTGATGGAATGACTATTACGGAAGCCAAAACCAAATGGCTAGCTTTGCGGGCTACTTTTAAAACAAACTTAGCAAAATCTCGTCAAAGGAAATCAGGCCAAGGAACTCGAGAATCTCAGACAAAACTTTGGCGCCATTTTAAGCAAATGTTATTTTTAGAAGACATTGTTCAAACCGCAACTACACAACCTACATCGACTTTCGATTTGGTATTTGCATTAATTTAAATAACTAATGTTTTTATGTTACTAATTAGTTACTAATTACTTTTTAGACATCTACTGATGCAAATGATATTGTGATAAAGTTGGACTCACCACAGACTACACCTCCTAATCCATTTCAAAGCAACAACCGACAATGTGTGGAGCTACCGCCTGTGCAAAATAGTCCAGTAAGAAATAATCTGGAGGAAATTCAACCTAAAGCAGTAACTACTCTACCAATATCTGATGCTAACTCTGCTTGTTGCGATCACATATTATCTGAATTATCTGCTCTTCCGAACAATAAAGCACAACGTTTGCGACGATTATTAATTAATGTGATGTATGACTTCTTAGAAAGTCATTCATGATCATACATAAAGTTTGTTCACTTAGCAAAGGCATTGTCAGCAATCGGCAATCAGCTCATATGAGCATGTAAATCGCTAATTTGTCAATGGTTGAGCAAAGATACAACACCATCATTAGTTTTGACCTTTGTCAACATATATAAACTTGTACACTGCATTTACGAAAACATTCAAACGATCCTGTCGACTATTAAAAGTAGTTGTAATAGGAAAATATCCTAGAAAATAAGAAATACTTATTACATGACTAAAATTAAAATTATCATATCATATATGACTTTAGTCAGGATGACGTGCTCTGCTGTTTCTTTAAATACTAATTAATTAATACTTAATTATATAAATCGTAAATATTTTTTTAATAAGTTTTATTTCTTATAATATATTTTTTATAATTTATTGAAAATAAAGAGTAATCTCAAAGAATATTTCTATATATAATATATTCCGTTAGTTAGTCTGGTTGTTTTTTAATGATTTATCAAAAATATTCTTTTATGGAAATTTTCATTTGGTGAGCAATAATATATTTACCACTCTGAACATATATTTAACACTCACCAAACAAACCACCCATCTAAAACAGTTCGGTAAGGATCAGCTGTAATTTTTAAACATAATATAGAAGCTTATTTTTCGTTATGGTTCTTAAAGTTATAAAATGATATACACTTAGCAGAAAAACTCTGCGTACAGAAAGTAAATTTTGTTTTAACATATAAAAAATTACTAAATAAATAAATTTTTTAAATCAATTTTATTTTTTATTAGTACTTTTATTTGTTATCTTCCTTTTAAGCTAAAACTTATTTCTAACAGATTAGTAGAAAAATTATAATAATTAAAAATGTGAAAAATCAGCGCTATCGGTGGCAGAAAAAGTCTGCGTACAAGAGTTTAAAAAGCATCGAAATATATTATTTTTTAAAAGATTTTATATTTTCAGTAACTTGTTGGATAACCTTTCCTTTTTATGACCTCCATAAGTCGTTTCGGTATCGAATTGACCAGCTTCGCAGTCTCATCGCTGCTTATTTTACCCCATTCCGCGTCGCTTACGTTCTTCAGCATTTCTTTAGAGGTTACATTGTATTCATGTATCCGACGCTCCAGTAAATCCTACAAATGTTCTATACGATGCAAATATGGCGATTATGATGACGTTTTGATTTGCTTGGCACATTTTAAAGCAACCAAAGCTTCACAACTTCGGCCGTGTGCTTTGGGTCGCTATCTTGTTGAAATAAATAATTATTCTGTAACCCCAACTTCTCGGCACTGCTCTTTTAAATGGATTTAACATATTAAAGTAAGCAACTTTATTGGCACTTACGGTGTAGTGTGACGTAGCGTCAATAAATTTCAATTTTTCCCACTCCATTACTCGCCATACACCCCCGCACTATTACTCCTCCACTACCATGTTTAATTGTTGGATACAAATCTTCATTATTAAAGGCTGTACCCAGGTTTCGCCATATAATCGTTCGACTTTTAACGCTAAAGAGACAAAATTTGCTTTCATCTGAAAAAATTATGCGTTTCCAATATTCTGGAGACTTATTTAAATACTCCCTTGCGAATGCTAAACGCTTCATTCTAATAGCTTTGGAGATAAGCGACTTGCTTCGTGCAAACCGGCCATAGTAGTGGTATGTTTTTAATATTTTGTGTACAGTGTCCACATGAATTTGCTTCTGGAATGTCTGGTCAATATATTTATATAACAGAAGTCCAGTTAGTCGAGGATTATCTTTCACAGAATTAATAATGCTGCGAGTTTCTCTTGTTGACAGCTTGGATGGACGCCCAAATCGCAGCTTCGAGGTCAATAATCCTGTTTAGCTGTTGTTGTTTACTACTCTTTGGATAGAAGAATGTGAC